TTCCACGTCAGCGAGAATCGCAGCTGTCCCGTGAGCCAGATGTACCAGGAGACCCGCTTCAGGTACTGTTAGAATAATCTCACTGTTCCCCGGCTTGAGCTTCAATCTCAGGATCCATGTATCTGTGATCCTCTCCAGAATGGAAGGAGTCATCACATACAGAGCATCAACTAGTTCCTGAACAGTGTCCTTCACATGCTGATATCAAGAGAGGGAGTTACACAGTCACAAGATGGAGGAATAGAAAGCAGTATTCAATGTTTACTTCAGATTAGCTCCACGTCAGAAATGAGCATGCTTGATGTCTCTCTCCATAGAGGCTGAATCATCATGTTAATCACATAGCTATCATCTGCCTCAAACAGTCCTGATGCTCTTCTAGGTAATCACACATCCTGTCATGTTCACAGCTACAGTTGATACCTTTGTTATCAAGCTACTCTCAGGTTGGAAGAGGACACTCACTATTTTCCCAACAGGTACAAGTATTTCCCCGAGGACCAGGTGCAGCTGCTGGAGATGCCGTACCGAGGAGACGACATCACCATGGTGATCCTCCTGCCCAGCAAAGAGACCACGCTGAGCCGAGTGGAGGAGGGTCTGGACCTGAAGAAGCTCACCCACTGGATGGATGGGATGGAGGAGAAGACGGTGGCCGTGCACATCCCTCGCTTCCGGCTGGAGGACAGCTTCAGTCTGAAGGACAAGCTGCAGGCGATGGGTCTCACTGACCTGTTCAGCTCTGAAAAGGCCAGCCTGCCAGGTGAGGAGAGAGATGGCAGAAGTACACACATCCTTTACTCAAGTAGAAGTACACACATCCTTTCCTCAAGTAGAAGTACACACATCCTTTACTCAAGTAGACGTACACACATCCTTTACCCAAGTAGAAGTACACACATCCTTTACTCAAGTAGAAGTACACACATCCTTTACTCAAGTAGAAGTACACACATCCTTTACTCAAGTAGAAGTACACACATCCTTTACTCAAGTAGAAGTACACCCATCCTTTACTCGAGTAGAAGTACACACATCCTTTACTCAGGTAGAAGTACACACATCCTTTACTCAAGTAGAAGTACACACATCCTTTACCCAAGTAGAAGTACAGATACTCGTGTTTAAAAATGAAAGTAGAAGTACTAACTAAACTTCTTTACTCGAGTCAAAGTAAAGAGGCTTTGAAGTGTACTTCAGTAAAAAGTACCCATAACTAGCAGCTGCTTTAAAGAGTACCTGACCTCCCTTTATATTAATAGAACAATAATGTCATTGTTAGCTAATGAATGTTTCCATGCTGAACAACGGCAACATGACAACGTTTCCATTGGTCCCTCTTCTTTAGAGAAGACCAGGAAATGATGGATACACGGATCGTGTTCAAATCAATAGGCACGCAATGACTCTAAAGAATAATGATCACGCATCAAACACACATTCAGACTAAAGGAACCAGCTGTTTGGAAAATGAGAGAAGTAGAAAGTACAAGTATTTGAGTTCAACATGTGAGAAGTAGAAAGTACAGGTATTTGTGTTCAACATGTGAGAAGTAGAAAGTACAGGTATTTGAGTTCAACATGTGAGAAGTAGAAAGTACAGGTATTTGTGTTCAACATGTGAGAAGTAGAAAGTACAGGTATTTGAGTTCAACATGTGAGAAGTAGAAAGTACAGGTATTTGAGTTCAACATGTAAGAAGTAGAAAGTACAGGTATTTGAGTTCAACATGTAAGAAGTAGAAAGTACAGGTATTTGAGTTCAACATGTAAGAAGTAGAAAGTACAGGTATTTGAGTTCAACATGTGAGAAGTAGAAAGTACAGGTATTTGTGTTCAACATGTGAGAAGTAGAAAGTACAGGTATTTGAGTTCAACATGTAAGAAGTAGAAAGTACAGGTATTTGAGTTCAACATGTAAGAAGTAGAAAGTACATGTATTTGAGTTCAACATGTAAGAAGTAGAAAGTACAGGTATTTGGGTTCAACATGTAAGAAGTAGAAAGTACAGGTATTTGGGTTCAACATGTAAGAAGTAGAAAGTACATGTATTTGAGTTCAACATGTAAGAAGTAGAAAGTACAGGTATTTGGGTTCAACATGTAAGAAGTAGAAAGTACAGGTATTTGAGTTCAACATGTGAGAAGTAGAAAGTACAGGTATTTGAGTTCAACATGTAAGAAGTAGAAAGTACAGGTATTTGAGTTCAACATGTGAGAAGTAGAAAGTACAGGTATTTGAGTTCAACATGTAAGAAGTAGAAAGTACAGGTATTTGAGTTCAACATGTGAGAAGTAGAAAGTACAGGTATTTGAGTTCAACATGTAGAAGTAGAAAGTACAGGTATTTTTATTTGTGTCAAGCAGTGTAAGAAGTAGAAAGTACAGGTATTGAGTTCAACATGTAACGAAGTTAGAAAAGTTACAGGTATTTGGAGTTCAACATGTAAGAAGTAGAAAGTAACCAGGTATTTGAGTTCAACATGTAAGAAGTTAGAAAGTACCGGTATTTGAGTTCACCATGTAAGAAGTAGAACGTACCAGGTATTTGCGGTTCAACCTGTGAGAAGTAGATAAGTACAGGTATTTGAGTTAACATGTAAGAAGTAGAACGTACAGGTATGTTGAGTTCAACATGTAAGACGTAGAAAGTACAGGTATTTGAGTTCAACATGTAAGAAGTAGAAAGTACCACGGTATTTGAGTTCAACATGTTAAGAAGTAGAAAGTACAGGTATTGAGTTCAACATGTAAGCGGAGTAGAACGTTGACAGGTATTTGAGTTCTAACATGTGAGAAGTAGAAGTACCAGGTATTTGTGTTCAACATTGAGAAGTAGAAAGTACAGGTATTTGAGTTCAACATGTAAGAAGGTAGAAAGTACAGGTATTTGAGTTCAACATGTAAGAAGTAGAAAGTACAGGTATTTGAGTCAACATGTAAGAAGTAGAAGTACAGGTATTTGGGTTCAACATGTAAGAAGTAGAAAGTACAGGTATTTGGGTTCAAACATGTAAGAAGTAGAAAGTACATGTATTTGAGTTCAACATTGTAAGAAGTAGAAAGTACAGGTATTTGGGTTCAACATGTAAGAAGTAGGAAAGTTACATGTATTTGAGTTCAACATGTAAGAAGTAGAAAGTACAGGTATTTGGGTTCAACATGTAAGAAGTAGAAAGTACAGGTATTTGTGTTCAAAATGTAAGAAGTAGAAAGTACAGGTATTTGTGTTCAACATGTAAGAAGTAGAAAGTACAGGTATTTGAGTTCAACATGTAAGAAGTAGAAAGTACAGGTATTTGAGTTCAACATGTAAGAAGTAGAAAGTACATGTATTTGAGTTCAACATGTAAGAAGTAGAAAGTACAGGTATTTGGGTTCAACATGTAAGAAGTAGAAAGTACAGGTATTTGGGTTCAACATGTAAGAAGTAGAAAGTACATGTATTTGAGTTCAACATGTAAGAAGTAGAAAGTACAGGTATTTGGGTTCAACATGTAAGAAGTAGAAAGTACATGTATTTGAGTTCAACATGTAAGAAGTAGAAAGTACAGGTATTTGGGTTCAACATGTAAGAAGTAGAAAGTACAGGTATTTGTGTTCAAAATGTAAGAAGTAGAAAGTACAGGTATTTGTGTTCAACATGTGAGAAGTAGAAAGTACAGGTATTTGAGTTCAACATGTAAGAAGTAGAAAGTACAGGTATTTGAGTTCAACAAGTAAGAAGTAGAAAGTACAAGTATTTGAGTTCAACATGTGAGAAGTAGAAAGTACAGGTATTTGAGTTCAACAAGTAAGAAGTAGAAAGTACAGGTATTTGAGTTCAACATGTGAGAAGTAGAAAGTACAGGTATTTGAGTTCAACATGTAAGAAGTAGAAAGTACAGGTATTTGTGTTCAACATGTAAGAAGTAGAAAGTACAGGTATTTGAGTTCACATGTGAGAAGTAGAAAGTACAGGTATTTGGGTTTCAACAAGTAAGAAGTAGAAAGTACAGGTATTTGAGTTCAACATGTAAGAAGTAGAAAGACAGGTATTTGAGTTCAACATGTAAGAAGTAGAAAGTACAGGTATTTGGTCAAATGTAGAAGTAGAAAGTACAGGTATTTGATGTCACACATGTAAGGAAGTAGAAAGTACAGGTTTTGAGTTCAACATGTAAGAAGTAGAAAGTACAGGTATTTGTGTTCAACATGTAAGAAGTAGAAAGTACAGGTATTTGAGGTTCAACATGTAAGAAGTAGAAGTACAGTATTTGGTTCAACATGTAAGAGTAGAAGTACAGGTATTTGGTTCAACATGTAAGAAGTAGAAAGAAAGTACAGGTATTTGTGTTCAACATGTAAGAAGTAGAAAGTACAGGTATTTGGGTTCAACATGGAAGGAAGTAGGAAAGTACAGGTATTTGTGTTCAACATGTAAGAAAGTAGAAATACAGGTATTTGATGTACAGTGTAAGAAGTAGAAAGTACAGGTATTTGAGGTTCAACATGTAAGAAGTAGAAAGTTACAGGTATTTGTAGTTCAACATGTAAGAAGTAGAAAGTACAGGTATTTGGGTTCAACATGTAGAAGTAGAAAAGTACATGTATTTGAGTTCAACATGTAAGAAGTAGAAAGTACAGGTATTTGGGTCAACATGTAGACAGTAGAAAGTACAGGTATTTGTGTTCAACATGTAAGAAGTAGAAAGTACAGGTATTTGTGTTCAAACATGTAGAAGTAGAAAGTACAGGTATTTGAGTTCACACATGTAAGAAGTAGAAAGTACAGGTATTTGGTTCAACATGTTAAGAAGTAGAAAGTACAGGTATTTGAGTTCAACATGTAAGAAGTAGAAAGTACAGGTATTTGAGTTCGAACATGTAAGAAGTAATAAGTACAGGTAATTTGAGTTCAAAGTAAGAAGTAGAAAGTACAGGTAATTTGTGTTTCAACGATAAGAAGTAGAAAGTACAGGTATTTGAGTTCAACATGTAAGAAGTAGAAAGTACAGGTATTTGGGTTCAACAGGTATAAGAAGTAGAAAGTACAGGTATTTGAGTTCAACATGTAAGAAGTAGAAAGTACAGGTATTTGAGTTCAACATGTAAGAAGTAGAAAGTACAGGTATTGTGTTCAAACATGTAGAAAGTGTAATGAAGTAGAAAGTACAGGTATTTGTGTTTCAACATGTAAGAAGTAGAAAGTACAGGTATTTGGGTTCAACATGTGAGAAGTAGAAAGTACAGGTATTTGGGTTCAACATGTAAGAAGTAGAAAGTACAGGTATTTGAGTTCAACATGTAAGAAGTAGAAAGTACAGGATATTTGATGTTCAACATGTAAGAAGTAGAAAGTACAGGTATTTGTGTTCAACATGTAAGAAGTAGAAAGTACAGGTATTTGTGTTCAACATGTAAGAAGTAGAAAGTACAGGTATTTGTGTCAACATGTAAGAAGTAGAAAGTACAGGTCTTGTGTTCAACATGTAGAAGTAGAAAGTACAGGTATTTGAGTTCAACATGTAAGAAGTAGAAGTACAGGTATTTGAGTTCAACATGTAAGAAGTAGAAAGTACAGGTATTTGGGTTCAACATGTAAGAAGTAGAAAGTACAGGTATTTGAGTTCAACATTTAAGAAGTAGAAAGTACAGGTATTTGGTTCAACATGTTAAGAAGTAGAAAGTACAGTACTTGTGTTCAACATGTAAGAAGTAGAAAGTACAGGTATTTGAGTTCAACATGTAAGAAGTAGAAAGTACAGGTATTTGGGTACAATGTGAGAAGTAGAAAGTACAGGTATTTGTGTTCAACATGTAAGAAGTAGAAAGTACAGGTATTTGAGGTCAAGATGTAAGAAGTAGAAAGTACAGGTATTTGAGGTCAAGATGTAAGAAGTAGAAAGTACAGGTATTTGTGTTCAACATGTGAGAAGTAGAAAGTACAGGTATTTGAGTTCAACATGTAAGAAGTAGAAAGTACAGGTATTTGTGTTCAACATGTAAGAAGTAGAAAGTACAGGTATTTGTGTTCAACATGTGAGAAGTAGAAAGTACAGGTATTTGTGTTCAACATGTAAGAAGTAGAAAGTACAGGTATTTGAGGTCAAGATGTAAGAAGTAGAAAGTACAGGTATTTGAGTTCAACATGTAAGAAGTAGAAAGTACAGGTATTTGAGTTCAACATGTAAGAAGTAGAAAGTACAGGTATTAGTGTTCAAAATGTGAGAAGTAGAAAGTAAAAAGTCGTCAGAAAAATAAGTAGTGGAGTAAAGTACTGATACCAGAAACATGTACTGAAGTACAGTAACGAAGCATTTGTACTCCACTACTTCCCAGCTCTGGTGAGGAGAGACTTCAGGTTATTCATTACATTACATTGCATTTAGCTGACGCTTTTATCCAAAGCGACTTACAATAAGTGCGTTCGACCAACAAAATACAACCTTGAAGAAAACAAAATCATAAAGTACATCAGGTTTCATAGAGCAAAAACATTTCAAGTGCTACTCAACTGGCTTTAGATAACCGTAAAGGAACACAAAAAGTGTCCTGAAGATGTCCGTCAGTCGGGTTAAAAACACAGCCTGCTGCACAGGGGGGACGGATGTGGTGACAGAAAATTATCTTGGGAACTAATAATGTGTGTGGGGCATTCAGGATCCACATTATTATAGGACGTTTGGGATCTAAAATGATTCTGGATTTAAATAAATGTGGGCGTTCAGGATTTATACAGTTTTTACAGTTCTTCTGACTAGAGATTTCCTATTATAAACAAAGGACATTGAAAGCAACAAACCACAGAGTTAAAATCCTTCTATGTTTAAACTGATTCTAAGACGTGCGTTTGAGTGACACTGTCTGAAGTTTAAAGTGCGTCTGTGTTTCAGGGATGTTGGAGGACGGAGGTGAAGGTCTGCACATCTCAGACGCCTTCCACAAAGCCTTCCTGGAGGTCAGTAAAGAGGCGGGGTTACCTGTGAGGTTACCTGTGAGGTTACCTGTTACCTGTGAGGTTACCTGTTACCTGTGAGGTTACCTGTGAGGATACTTGTTACCTGTGAGGTTACCTGTGAGGTTACCTGTTACCTGTGAGGTTACCGGTTACCTGTGAGGATACTTGTTACCTGTGAGGTTACCTGTGAGGTTACCTGTTAGCTGTGAGGTTACTTGTTACCTGTGAGGTTACCTGTGAGGTTACCTGTTAGCTGTGAGGTTACTTGTTACCTGTGAGGTTACCTGTTACCTGTGAGGTTACCTGTGAGGATACTTGTTACCTGTGAGGTTACATGTTAGCTGTGAGGTTACTTGTTACCTGTGAGGTTACCTGTTAGCTGTGAGGTTACCTGTGAGGTTACCTGTTACCTGTGAGGTTACCTGTTACCTGTGAGGTTACCTGTTACCTGTGAGGTTACCTGTTACCTGTGAGGTTACCTGTGAGGTTACTTGTTACCTGTGAGGATACTTGTTACCTGTGAGGTTACCTGTTACCTGTGAGGTTACTTGTTACCTGTGAGGTTACTTGTTACCTGTGAGGTTACCTGTTACCTGTGAGGTTACCTGTTACCTGTGAGGATACTTGTTACCTGTGAGGTTACCTGTTACCTGTGAGGTTACTTGTTACCTGTGAGGTTACCTGTTACCTGTGAGGTTACCTGTGATGTTACCTGTTACCTGTGAGGTTACCTGTTACCTGTGAGGTTACCTGTGATGTTACCTGTTACCTGTGAGGTTACCTGTGAGGTGACGTTACCTGTGAGGTTACCTGTTACCTGTGAGGTTACCTGTGATGTTACCTGTTACCTGTGAGGTTACCTGTGAGGTGAGGTTACCTGTGAGGTTACCTGTACTCACCTGTTGAGTTACGGGACGGTCCTCTGCATGTTTGCTGCACAGCTGTTTTAAGAGGAATAAAACTGGAAGGAGGTTTAAATTATGTTTTTAAATAAATAAATACATATTGGTATTAAATAATAATTTCTAAATAATATATTTGTTTATGGGGTTTATATTTCATTTTAAAATGTATTATTCTTAGGGTGGTGTTTTTAAAGACGTTCATTTAGTGCAATTTATTTCATGCATGTAATTGGAATATTTTACATTTTCACTGACATGACACAACAACTATTTTTAAAAAGCCTTTAACAATCCTCAGATTTAAATGTACTTATTCGGAAAAATGCTGAAAAAAATTAAAACTTTTCCCCATTTTTTATTTTTTGATAGTTGAATGTTATTTTTATCCTAACCCAGTTTAAACTCCCACTTTCTTGTTCTCTGTCCTTTAAGATGGACTTGAATTCTCCCATAGTGGTACAATGTTTCAGATCCTTCTGCAGGGGCGGACTGGGACCAAAAATCGTCCCGGGCCACTTCGGTACCGCTAGTAAATTGTCAACGGGGGGGGGGGTGCTAGTGACTTATCCGACCGGCCCACATTGTCCGACCGGCCCACTTCAGTACCGACGATGGCCAGTCCGCCACTGTCCTTCTGTATATTAGTCCGAGCAGAGGGGGCAGTGAGAGTGAATCTGTTGTGTCCCTGCAGGTGAACGAGGAGGGCAGCGAGGCGGCAGCGGCTACAGGTGTGGTGGCGGTCGGTCGATCCATCAACTTCGACAGAGAGGTGTTCCATGTGAACAGACCCTTCCTGCTGCTGATCAGAGAGAAGAGCATCAACGCTCTGCTGTTCACCGCCAGGGTGGCAGACCCCTGCACCCAGTAACTCAAACCAGGGTCAAATGATCATATAGTCATTTAAAGCATATAGTCTTATACTCTGATTGCCTTTTACTCTGTTAAACTGTATTTTTAGTCTTGGATGTGTTTAACAGAGACATATGTTAAAGATCACCTATTATGCAAAATCCACCTTTACATGTCTTTGCTACATCAGCATGTTTTTCAGGAACAAAGATTCTCTCTCTTTTTGATCCATTTCTATAAAAACCTGTCTGAAAATGAGCTGATCAGATTTTGGCCACTTTATGTCATCATCACGATGTTTTGTCTTGTGTAACCATTAGCCAATCAGCAACCAAGGTAGCCCCCCCCCCCCCCCCCCCCTTATCACCTGAATCTCCTCTAGAGCTCCATTGAGTTCTTTGTAACCAAATGTCTCTCAGAGGGGCGTGGGGAGGGGCTCCTTATTTTCATCTAAAGTAACAGGCAGAGAATCAGCACTTTGGAAACAGGGCTGAAACAGAGGGGATTATGGGTAATGCTGCAATGATCTGTTTGGTGTTTCAGCCAATCAGAGGCAGGCTCTGGATATATCTGAGACCTGTGATATATTGATGAAGAAGAGGATGATAGGAGACCTTTAATAGAGACATATGTTAAGGATATCAGGAGGTGTAAAAGGGGGATTTGCAAACTGGGGGTTTTATGGTTTATGGTGCATTTGAGATACATTTCACTTGTATATTTACTTTCTTTATTACTTTATTAAATATAACAAAAGACAAACTTTGTCCATGAATCATGTATCAGTTTCTCTCTTCTTCTGTGTTTTAAATGTTAAATAAATTCACATTCTGCAGTTTAGATCAGCAGCGAGAATTCTGAGGTCCCTGTTATCCAATAAACTAATACATGGAGTATTAATCAGTGTAAATACATTAAATGACTGCAACAGAACACATAGTTGTCTGCATCCATTATTTAACTCATCCTTTAAGCTGGATACATTTCTGTGTACTGATCCGTAACTTTAAGCTAACTGTTTTAACACTAAAACTGTACTTTTAGCTGTAAATTCAGTACTTTTAGCTAAGTCCTCCCTCCCCTCCAAAGCCTGATAAGGATGTGTGTGTACAAAACGCTGCAAACTGATATCTGCTGGGTCCAGGCTCAAGGGCGTATGGCACTCTCAACTCTTTCCAGGACATGTCGGGGCCCTGCCTGCCAGTAGCTTTGCCGATATCTGTGTTGATAGGTAATAGATTAAGAGCGGTGAATCAGCTTAGACACAGGAAGCGCTCAAACGTTTGTGTGAGTGTATCTAATTTAGCAGTGATTCCATGTCAGCCACAGCTTGTTACAAAAAACATGACTGATAGTGTGTTTAACAAACTTAAACTAGCTTTATTAAATGTCAGGTCTTTGGCAGGAAAAACATTTTTAATCAATGATTTAATCACTGAGCACAATCTCGATTTTATGTTTTTAACAGAAACTTGGATTGAACAGAATAACAGTGCAGCTGTTCTTATCGAATCAACCCCTCCCAACTTTAGTTTTATGAGTCAGGAAAGAATGCATAAGAAAGGGGGTGGAGTTGCTATTCTGTTCAATGATTCCCTTCAATGCAGGAAGACATCTTATGGGAACTTTGCTTCTTTTGAATATGTGGCCCTTCGGCTGAAATGCTCCTCTCGAGCTCTGTTCCTAAATATCTATAGACCACCCAAATACTGTGCAAGCTTTTTGATGACTTTACTGAACTGCTGTCTATAGTGTGTATTGACTTTGACCGTCTAGTCATTGTTGGTGATTTTAACATCCATGTTGACAACCCCCAGGACAGAGGGGCTAAAGAACTGTTTTGTGTTCTTGATAGCTATGGACTGACTCAGCATGTGACGGAGCCCACGCACAATAAGGGGCACACTCTGGACTTAATTATCTCAAAGGGTCTGAATATCTCTAAGGTTGTGGTGACTGATGTTGCACTCTCTGACCATTCCTGTGTTTTCTTTGAGAGCTCTATTTCTGTTCACAAATATGTTCAAAAAGAGGTAACCACAAAGCGATATTTAACTGAAAACACTAGGGAAATGTTTACTCAGGATGTTTCTTCCACACTTGCCCCTGCTAACATCTCAGTAAATGAGCTAGTAGATCATTTTAATTCAAAAATTAAAAATGTTATAGATGCCATTGCTCCAACTAAGGTAAAGGAAGTGTCTGGCAAGAAAATATCTCCATGGAGAAAGGCCATGACCGTGAAAACAGAAAAAAGAGAATGTCGAAAAGCTGAACGCAGGTGGCGAAAAACAAATCTCCAGGTTCACTTTGAAATCTATAAAGAGAGACTTGGCCTTTATAATTTGGAATTGAAAAACGCACGACAATCGTTCTTCTCTGACATCATTACCAAAAACAAAAACAACGCACGTGCCTTGTTTGCTACCGTCGACAGACTAACTAACCCCCCAGTGTCAGTAGCCTCTGAATTTCTATCCACCAGGGCGTGCAATGATTTTGCCTTCTTCACTGACAACATTCAGAAAATCAGACAAGCAGTCAGTGCCTCTGCATCAGGAACAGCAAATGTGTTGTCCCTATCTCCACTTAACATCAATTCAGACATCATGACACAATTCCATCAGATTAATGATAAAAACCTAGAGGACATTATTCAACTTCTGAAATCCTCCTCCTGCTGCCTTGATATTATTCCAACAGGATCAAAGATGTTTTGCCTTGCATGGCCTCAGATCTACTTCATATAGTAAACAAATCTCTTCACTCAGGTGTTTTTCCACAGGCCCTGAAAACTGCAGTCATTAAACCGCTCTTAAAAAAGAATAATCGAGATGCTTCAGTAATGAACAATTACAGGCCCATATCAAACCTGCCATTTCTAGGTCAAATCATTGAAAAAGTTGTTTTTCAACAGTTGAGTAATTTCTTGCATTTAAATAACTGTTTGGATGTGTTCCAGTCAGGCTTTCGTCCAAACCACAGCACTGAGACTGCTCTTGTAAAGGTCTTTAATGACATCCACTTAAACACAGACAGTGGCAGAACTTCAGTGTTAGTATTATTAGATCTCAGTGCTGCGTTTGACACTGTTGACCACAGCATATTACTAGACCGACTGGAACACTGGGTGGGACTTTCGGAAACAGTTCTGAATTGGTTTGAATCCTACTTAAAGGACAGAAACAACTTTGTTTCTATAGGTAAATAATACACATCTGAGTTGACAAATATGACATGTGGGGTTCCTCAAGGCTCCATCTTGGGGCCTCTTCTCTTTAACGTCTACATGCTACCACTGGCTCAGATAATGAAGAACAACAAAATAAGTTACCATAGCTATGCAGATGACACACAATTTCACCAGGAGACTATGCTCCAATTAAAACACTGAGTAAGTGCATTGAACAAATCAATGACTGGATGTGTCAGAACTTTCTCCAATTAAACAAAGATAAAACTGAGGTAATGGTTTTTGGAGCCAAGTCAGAACGTATAAAAGTTAGCGCTGAGCTTCAGTCTGCAATGTTCAAAACAACAGATAAAGCCAGAACTCTAGGTGTAGTCATGGACTCTGACCTGAGTTTCAACAGTCACATTAAAACTGTTACTAAATCAGCCTACTATCACCTAAAGAATATATCTAGGATTAAAAGACTAATGTCACAGCAGGATCTGGAAAAACTTGTCCATGCTTTTATCTTCAGTAGACTGGACTACTGCAATGGTGTCTTGTCTTCACAGGTCTCACTAAAACATCTATTAGGAAGCTGCAGCTGATTCAGAACGCCGCTGCTCGAGTCCTCACTGACACTAAGAAAGTGGATCACTCCTGTTCTGAAGTCTTTACACTGGCTTCCTGTGTGTCAAAGAATAGATTTCTAAATACTGCTGCTGGTTTATAAAGCACTGAATGGTTTAGGCCCAAAATACATTTCTGACCTCCTGCTAAATGATGAACCATCCAGATCTCTCAGGTCTTCAGGGACTGGTCAGCTTTCTGTCCCCAGAGTCAGAACTAAACATGGAGAAGCAGCGTTCAGTTATTATGCTCCAAACATCTGGAACAAACTCCCAGAAACCTACTACTACTTGCCTTGCCTAAGTGTTTATCCATTACATTAAGCTAGCCATTTCCACTGTCAGTCGTTATATTTAACTGTTTCAGCCGCCTATCTGTTAGTTTAGGCTATACATGAGAGTAACACATGCGTCACTTCCGGGCAAAAAGTATGGCTCCGCCCACTTTTGGGGGAAAACAACGCTGTCATTTGAATTGCGATCAATACAAATTTTGAAGTTTTTGCCAATCCGATCAGACATTTAAGAAAACCGTGGATTTGTGGATCTTCAAAGAGCCCGATTACGACGGCCAGTCAGGCAAACAATTACATTAAATCATTGGAAATCGACGATCGGGCTCGATATATGGTTAAATATAGCAGTAGGCGATCAATGTCATACATGAGAGTAACATCTCACTTTGGCCCCGCCCACTTTTTGGGGAAACCAACGCTGTCATTTGAACGGCGATCGAGCCTGAAGCCACAGAGTTCTTCTTTGTCCTTTCTTCTTAGAGGAAGTTCAGAAACACTGAACTCTGGATTTGTTTTAATGTTTGAGGAGCAATAAACGACACAGCAGCTTGTTGGCGTGATAAAACTATTATGTTCCGCCTCGCTCATGAGAGTAACAGCTGGCGAAGTTACAGCCTAGCCTACTGATTTTAATTTAACCATATGTCGAGCCCGCTCGTCGATTTCCAATGATTTAATGTAATTGTTTGCCTGACTGGCCGTCGTCATCGGGCTCTTTGAAGATCAGAAAATCCACGGTTTTCAAACATTTCTGATGGGATTGGCAAAAACTTCAGAATTTATATTGACTGCCATTCAGATGACAGCGTTGTTTTCCCCTAAAAGTGGGCGGGCCGTACTTTTCGCCCGGAAGTGACGTAGGTGTCACTCTCATCTATTGCAACTGTTATACGTTTAGCTGTTCATCTGTTACTCTTAGCAATTTCATCTGTTTATGCTACACCTTTGGCTGTTTAACTGCTTACCGTTTCATCTGTTAGCCATTACTTTTAGCTAATTATTTAAACTGTTTATTCAGCTACTCATTCCTCTTTTTACGTTAACTTTTATATCTGTTAGCCGTTTCTTTAAGCTAAACTGTTTACCCATTACTTAGCTAGCTATTAGCCTACAACTTATCTTAAAATTACAACTGTTAATCCGTTACTTTTAGCTAATTGTTCCCTAACGTTAAGTATTTCAACGGTTACATTGAATTGTTAATTCATAACTATTACCTAAATGGAGCGAAGCCTGCGAGCTAGTTCAGGCAGTCAACTCCAGCACCAATGATACATTAACACGTGACGCACCTCGTCCCTCTAACAACCAACCAAACACATTCTCCTAAACATGCCGCTCTATTTAAGCTACCAGCTCTTCCTGCCTCTGCCTCGCTATGCTGCTGCTGTGTTCACTTGCTATGGTTGCGTTCATGTTCATGTTCCTGCTGCTGCGTTTCATGTTGCTGCTGCTTGCCTAACCCACCACCACCCCAGCTTCCACCCCAGCTTCCACCTCAGCTTCCACCCCAGCTCCACCCCAGCTTCCACCCCAGCTTCCACCCTAGCTCCATCCCAGCTTCCACCCCAGCTTCCACCCCAGCTTCCACCCTAGCTCCATCCCAGCTTCCACCCCAGCTCCACCCCAGCTTCCACCCCAGCTCCATCCCAGCATCCACCCCAGCTTCCACCCTAGCTCCATCCCAGCTTCCACCCCAGCTTCCACCTCAGCTTCCACCCCAGCTCCACCCCAGCTTCCACCCCAGCTTCCACCCCAGCTCCATCCCAGCATCCACCCCAGCTTCCACCCCAGCTTCCACCCTAGCTCCATCCCAGCTTCCACCCCAGCTTCCACCTCAGCTTCCACCTCAGCTTCCACCCCAGCTTCCACCCCAGCATCCATCCCAGCTTCCACCCCAGCTTCCACCCCAGCTTCCACCCCAGCTTCCACCCCAGCTCCATCCCAGCTTCCACCCCAGCATCCACCCCAGCTCCACCCCAGCTTCCACCTCAGCTTCCACCCCAGCTCCATCCCAGCTTCCACCCCAGCTTCCACCTCAGCTTCCACCCCAGCTTCCACCCCAGCTCCATCCCAGCTTCCACCCCAGCTCCATCCCAGCATCTACTTCAGCTTCCACCCCAGCTTCCACCCCAGCTTCCACCCCAGCTTCCACCCCAGCTCCACCCCAGCTTCCACCCCAGCTTCCACCCCAGCTTCCACCTCAGCTTCCACCCCAGCTCCATCCCAGCTTCCACCCCAGCTCCATCCCAGCATCCACCCCAGCTCCACCCCAGCTTCCACCCCAGCTTCCACCCCAGCTCCACCCCAGCTTCCACCCCAGCTTCCACTTCAGCTTCCACTTCAGCTTCCACCTCAGCTCCATCCCAGCTCCACATGTAGGCTCGGGGATAGTTATCTAATCATCACTCAATGTTCTTTGTAAATCTGTGGAGTGGTGAGGCCCGAGCCTAGACGCTAAACTCAAACTATATGCTGCTCTAATAAACATATTAAGAAACACGTGAGTTGTCTGACTGAACTATTTGTAATCCGTTAGAACAGATAAACGGCTATTTAAAAGCTTTAGCTAACTGTTTATTTATTACTTAGCAAGCTATTAGCATACAACTTAGCTTACAATTAGAACTGTTAATCCCTTACTTTAGCTAATTATTTAAAACAGTTTGTGGTACTTTTAGCTAACTACTTCAACAGTCTATTTGCACATTTTAGCTAATTATTTCTATTGTTTATCCGTTACTGTTTCCTATTTTAAAGGACCCATGTCATGCTTTCCTGGTTGTCACCCGTCCCCTTGTGTTATGAAGCTTTTTCTGCATGTAACCGGTCTGCAGAGTCACAAACCCTCAAAGTGCACCCTGTAGCGAGTAAAACTCTAACACAGAGAAGACCTGTCTGCTGCCCCAGAACGCCTCGTTGGAGATCTCTCTTTTTCCATGTTTCTTCCCGGAACCAAAATGGACCAATCCACGGAGCTCCTCACACACCAGGAGGGGTGGGGACCTTTAGCGTACATTTTCAACTAACAGTCCCCTGGTTGGTAATAGAGGAGTTGGGATGGTGGAGAAATGCTCTCCGCAGACCCATTCTCACAGCGTTATAAACCTTTTTCTAACTCATCAAGCCACACTTATTGTTTTTATTTCGGCTGTGAGTGTTTGTGTGCTCAGGATGAGTTTTGCTTGTTCCCGCTGTATCGCCGACCCGGAAACCACACCAGTAAGCCAGATCACTGAGCAGCGAGCCTCGCAACGTCCCCACCAATCAGAGCACACTGGGCTCACAGGGAGGAGGGGGGGGGGGGGAGGGGGGGGGCAGGAGCTCCAACAAGCCGTGTAGGACAGAGAGTGAATACACAGACTATACAGAGATGCTGTGAGAAACCAATGAGAGTTTGGAACATTGAACAATATAAATCTATTCTAGTAGACCTCAACAATGGAACTATGATCAGTGGAAATGGCCATGGGACCTTTAACTGTTAATTTTAGCTAATTATTTGAACTATTTATCTTTACTTAGAGCTAACTATCTAATACTGGTTACTACAGTAGATGTCCGTACACCTAACGAGATGTAAGTTGTTTTCTCGTCAGGTGCATTGTGGGTAATGTGTGCAGGTAAAGAATGAGGCGTGGCTGTGGACACTTAAAGTGCTTTATTTCCTGTGGAGGCGACCTGTGACAGATCTAGTGGTCATGGTGAAAGAAGCTTCTTCACATTTTTCTAAACTTATAATCAACCTTCCCCCCCCCCCCCCCCCCCCCCCCCCCCCTCCTCCACCAACAGAGACATGCAACATAAAGGATTTTCACATAAAACCTTTTCCGGTTCCTACGACACGTGTTAAGTACCTCCTCTTTAAAATAACATGTACAGTATTAAAAGTTAATTTACTAAACGTTTCTTTTTGACTCTGCATCGATATATTAGGATATACTTTGAGGAATCAACAGTAAAGAGTAATCTCATTAAGTGAATATAGCTAAATGATTTATAATTAGGCATGTCATGGTCAATATTACTGGATATCATAAAACATCTGATTCACACAGTACAAAATAATAAAAGAGCCAGAAGCTGAGGAGACGTGAAACCAACGTTTGGCGTTTTGAAAGTAAACGGATGAAGATGAGGTTGAGCTGTTTTCACAGTTTAACTGAGACGAAGAGGAGGAGGAGGAAGAGTCGGATTGTGAGTCTTTAAAACAATCATTTTGAACTTGAGTTAATTTGAAACTTTACAAAGTCAGCAAACATGTTTTTTATGTTTTATATTTGATGCTTAACACTAAAAATATCAGTGTTAATACAAGAAGAATCTTTGTATTTCAAGCTGCAAATCACTTTTACTGCCTGTTTCTATACATTATTTGAAGTTAAATCTATATTTGAATACGCAGCACTTCATTTAAACAAATCATGACGGTGTATAAATGCAATTTTAGTTCAATCAAATTATTGAAAAGATTAAGGAGCCCCAAAAGGGGAGTTACATTCGGAGAGAAAATCTGATGTTCAAGTAAAGATTTTCTCGAATACTTCTTAGTATTTTATTTAACGTATTATTGTCGTCTATACTCTGATCTGAGTTTTCCTCCTCCATGTCCTCCGGGCGGGACCGGAATCGAGTCCAGCATCTGATCTGGAAGCAGCGATTTGTGACTTTAACTGAGTTATAAAATGATGTGCAGAGAGGACAGAAAGATTCAGTCCACTGGTGACCAAACGTAACCCCAAACGTCTTGATCAGCAGCGAATAAGGTCCTGGCCTAGTCCACACGTACTCAGGTGTTTTTAACCTTTTTATGGATTTAAAAAAAGAAGGAAAACTGCCGTCTGTGAGGTGAGTTGTTGATGTAGATTCAGAAAATATATTAATGTGTAAACATTTGAAAGGTCCTGTTGGCAGGTTAGATACACTGACATATAAAGAGGTGTTTTAGTGACTTAAATCAGCGTGAGTATAAGAGGCCAAAACTCAGGGAAAGAGAAACCTGTGCGCGTGTGGACTCGGTCAGACTTGTGGAGTTATTTTTCTGTTCCTCTCTGAATGACTTCAGTCTGTTTGTTCTTGCAAGACTTTCCCTTTTTCTCTCAGAGCTGGGCAACACGGCACGTTTTAGCTTGTAAAAAGTTTTTCTTTGAGGAGTTTTTTGTTTTTCCTGATGCACCATTTCACTTCATCAGCTATGCAACACAAAGCCGCAGTTCCTAAAATATGCTTCACAAGTTTTCTTCTTAACAAGTAAAAATATCTTAGCGAAGAGAACAAAAACTCAGCCTCTCATTGTGAATGTGCTGCATACACGTATACACGTACAAATAATCCTCCTAAAACCTGAATAATATCAGCAAATCACACACGCCTTCATCTGAGAATACTGCATTCAGAACAGGGAATAATAAAGAATATGCTGTTTACATGACCCGTATCAGATTCATGACATTATTCAGAATAAAGAAATCAGTAAGCTAACAGGAGTTTAACGAATACCTGTCAGCCAATCGGAGAGCCGTATTTTCTGTTGCCATGGTGCATTGGAGAGAGGTGGTGTAGTTGGTGCATTGGAGAGTTGTTCTATGTTGCCCAGCCCTGGGTTTTGACTCGCAGGATTTCCCCCCCCACCCCCTGCGGCTGCAGTCTAAGTTTATTGACAGGTTTCTGAGGTTTAGCCGTTAGCGCTCTGCTACGTGGGCTAACGGAAAGAGAGTCTGAATACCTGAAGGTTCCTGTGTTCGCCTGAACAGTCACAGCCGCTGGCTTCTTGCATAAAAACGTCAGACTCACGGCGGCGCAGTAGAAAAACCCAAAACCGCCGCTCCACGTGCTACCAGCTGACTTACATTATGCAAAAACAAAAAAAACATCATAGTAGTTTAAATACGTCTGATAATATGTGATTTATATTGTTCTTATAAAAAGTGTTTTGATCCTCTCTCTCTGATAAGTGCTGAAGTTCCTCGTCCTCTTTCCTTTGGTGTCTGGACCCGCCGCCCTCCGGTCGCTGATCTGAGACCTGTTGAGGGTTTAAGTCCGGCTCAATGGTCCGGAGAATACATCCATCCTGTCTGACGGGAAAACCCCCGCCCCGCCGATCACTGACCCGAAACCGGGACGCATTACCTCTGCTGCACGGGACCGTACGCTCGTTATACGTTCGGAAAATTCGAAAATACATGTAATTTACATATTTTAGATAAAGAGTTAGGGGTCCCAAGATGGATCCCTGTGGAACACCACATGTAATTACTCCCAGTTCTGATTAAAAAGGTATAATTCCTACCTTATGTACTCTATTTTGGTTGGATAAAAACATGTTGTGAATAGTTTTAACAATGTTAAAATCCGGTTATTTGTGTAAACCCTCATGTCATACTCTTTTTTACATGTTTTCAAACTGTATTTGAGACGTCCATCTGCCTTCGTTCTTTAGCATTTTAAACTGCGACTATAGCCCATAACAATGAGGACGCTGGGAAGATAAGAAACAGAGCTGTCGGATGTATGATAATTATCGCATTTGTACGATAAATTTGCCATTTGTGTAATGTAAAATAAAAAATGCTAGAAGCGATTTCCTGATGATGTTGACGATGTGAATTGTAAGCTTCTCTGTCTGGAAATGTAAAGTTGTAATACTAAGCTTTTTCCAAACTTGGATATGAACGGACAATCGTCACGATCGAAAATCAAGCATTAACGGACAAAAGCTACGTTAGCTAATGTTAATATGTTCTCGTGGTTAGTTGCGTGCGACAACTTATTTTCAGCAAAAATATTCCAATAAACCAGAATCACTGAACAGAGCTGAGGAAAATAATATTTAATAGCAGCTCGGGAAAATAAAGTGTATTGAGATCTTCAACTAATCAACTAATTATACGTCTAACTATCTGCGTATAAAGAATACATCGACAAAAGCATCTTAGTTTTAATGTTTACTTTTCTTCCCTTACGCGACTCCTTGTCGTTACGATGTACATCAAATCGTAAAAGACAAATTACAGGACAGATATCTAACGTGTTTTAACTCAAATATAAGCCGACGTCTGAGAGGAGTCTTTGAATGTAAACGATATTATAAGATATATCGATCTTTCTAACCCCCCCTAGCTAAACCCCGTTTCCCTCGCGGACGTGCAGCAGATTTAATGCGTCCCAAACAATAAGTTCCCGGTCGGGTCGTGACTCGGCCTCCTCGTTCGTTACACACATTGTCAGAGCAAAAAAAGTGTCCAAGAAAAAAGAAAAAAGAAAGAAGAAGAAGTCATGCTTTTTTATAAAAATATCTGAGAAGTCTCTGGGGGCCCTGTGGTGAGAGCGCCCCCCGGTGGTGCTGTGCGGGGCAGCAGCTGTATTGCGTCGTGATGAGAGGTAACTGAGCGGTGTAGCTTATCTTCGTCAACAGGCTGCCAGGTGCACCAGAACCTCACAAGGTTTCTGCAGGGCTGTACCGAGCGTTAGTGTTCAGTGTTTGATTATTGTGGTCGTATAAATGTACTTATGGTGCTGTTAGATTACATACAAGTAAATATATTTAATATGTATATATGACTCAAATATGTCTATATGTTCATTTAATTCTTATTGTAAAAGTTACTTACCTGTATATAATAGTAATCTTTAATTGTATTTAATCTTGTCTGCATCTGTGCTGTCCTGTTTTTCATTCTCACCCTGTTGCTGTTAAACTACTGAATTTCCCCACAGGGATTAATAAAGGTCCATCTTATCTTATCTTAACAGCAAGGGGAACAAGATTAACAGTTAAAGATATGGTTTTGACGCATAATATTTGGTTGGATCAAATATTTTGTGAATTTGGGAAATGATTGCATCTAACTTTTTGAATAAATCCAAACCAAAGACAGTTTTAATTTTAAAAGCTGAATCGTCAGCATACACAAAGAGCTCCCAATCAACTCCAGGTTAACTATAATTGACGTATATCAGATTATCAGCAGTGGTCCTAAGGTTGATCCCTGAGGAACACCAGATGTGATTTCTCCTGGATCCAATGTGATGCCATTAATATCTTCAATATATTCTAGTCTATTATTTTTAAAAACTTTGTGAAATGTTGTGAAAATCAAACTTTTTAAAGTAAATGCAAACTGAATTGTCAGCATTCAGAAGGAGCTCACAATCACCTGCAGATTTAAAATATATAATTTACATATTTTGGATAAAGAATTAGGGGTCCAAATATGGATCCCTGAGGAACACCTTATGTAATTACTCCTGGTTCTGATTAAAAAAAAAATTCCTACAGTATATACTCTATTTTGGTTGGATAAAAACATGTTGTGAATAGTTTTAACAATGTTTTTGACTTTGGTCTTTCCAACGCTCTGGATTTATTGGAAAATATTGAAACATTTGTACGCAGCTACCTCTGAAATTGAATTGCAATAATAATATAATATTATTAGTTTTGTTGTGTTCGGTACAGCCCTAACTATCAATCAATAAATCTGAATTGTTTATTTTACAGCCAAATTAGGTAATCCCATGTGATCAGAGTTCTTTACCTGATGATTGAAACTAAATCATTGGAGCTTTCCTCCCATGGCCTTCTTCCCTCTCAGCGTTAACCAGGCTCAGAGGTAACGTTGGACTTTAATAAATGAGGGTTAAAGTCCTTTACCTAGATTACCTGATGACAGCTGAGCAGGTCGGATTCTCTAAAGAAGACCGAGGGAACCAGTGGAAAGCTCTGGGAATAGGAAAGTTAGTGGACCATGTCTTTAGAATATTAAATCGAGATTATTTTTAGATGAGATTAGTAACACCAATTCCAAGGAGGTTATGTTTGTCTGGCCCCATTTTGATGAATCTTAGGGAGGTGCAGACATGAAACATGTATAACTTGTGTTAACTGGTCTTGGTAAAGTGCTCTTCTAGACAGTTAATGTTTTTCTTTATCTTCTAACAATAAAGTTACACTCTTCGATCAGACACAAACATATATTTGAAGATGTCTCCTTGGACTCTGTGGAGATACTCTCCTAGATCTATCATTTAAAGAGCAAATGATCACTGTATTTATAATGCAAATTAAACTAATGGTTAGCACAGAGATAATTAGTGTGAAATGTTTTCCCACTAAGCTTCATGAGAAAGGAACTCTGATCACACAGGAACTTTAACAGTCTGACTTTTTGTGCATCTAAATGTTTTATCGCCGCTGTGGCACTTTAGAGAGCGCGCAGGATTACTTTTATAAATATGAATATTAACCGCGCCGCTCTGGATTGTCTCGAGGCAGATATGAAGGTTTTAGTGTTGCTCTGGCACTGAGCCGTTTGTCTGTTGAACCTGTAACTGTAAATATAAAAGTAGAAATCTGTAACGTAAAAGACCCACGTGGCGTGGCGACTGAGGTTGTTGGAGTGTGTGGCGTTTCTTCATTTAGCTTCATCTGTTGGGTAGCTTTGTGAAGGTAGATGCGGTTTAAAGCGGAGACAGTTCAGGGGTTTAGTCGGGCCCCGTGGTGGAGACAGAGGCCTGGGGTCCCTCTCCGTACGCCCCCCCGCCCTCTCCCTCCTCCTGGCTGGGTGAGGCCTCGTCGCTGGGCCTCCCTCTGGAGGTCACGGAAGTGGTGGTGGTCTCTGGCGACGCGCTCTGGGCCTCCTGGGCAGCGCAGCCCGGGTGGTTCTTACGGAAGTGCTGGTTGAGGATGGCCTGGACGTAGGGATGGGAATTTGAAAGCATATTTATATTCGAATATTCAACCCCCAAAAAAACAGTTAACCGAATTTTTTTAACATTTTTTACAATTACTGGACATAAAATACACACTGTATTCAAACACACATGTAAATAGTATGAACACATGACCCAATATATGTTCATTTTAATTCATTTAATATTTTAGAGTTATTTATTTTTATCTTTAATTTTATCCTTAGTTGTATTCATCTGTGTGAATCTGTGCTGTCCTCTTTTTCAATCTCACCCTGTTGCTGTTAAACTACTGAGTTTCCCCACAGGGGTTAATAAAGGTCCATCTCATCTTATCTTATATATCCTATAAAAAAAAGATATTTAAAATGGCACTGTCGTATACATTTAATTAACCTATTTCATATGTAATCAATTTAGGCACCCCTCCCATAAAAAAAAACAAGTAGTGGAGTAAAGTACTGATACCAGAAACATGTAGTCAAGTAAAGTATAAGTACTCAGATCTTGTGGTTCAGTAAAAGTAGAAGTACTCAGATCTAGTACTTGAGTAAAAGTACTTAGTTACATTATACCTCTGTATATATGTGGACTTTTGAATACATCCCCTTGGACTCTAAGGAACTAGGAAAGAATTGTTTCAATATTGGAATATTGGATTAATCATTCCCATCCTACCTGGAAGGGGAAGCTCTTGCCGCAGACGTGGCAGTGGAAGGGCTTGTTGCCCGTGTGCTTGCGGATGTGATACTCCAGCTGGTCCTTGCGCGTGTACTTCTTCCCGCAGATGCGACACGCGAAGGGCGTGATGCCCATGTGAAGCCGCATGTGGCGGTCCAGGCTGCCCTTCTGGTTGAAGGACTTGCAGCAGTAGATGCAGGTGAGACGCGGGTTGTAGCGGAACCAGCGGTCGCCCACCTGCTCCCTCAGGTAGTCCTCGTAGCCGCCCATATCGAAGGAGGCGTTCTCCTCGCCCTGATGCAGAGAGAAACACGTTAATACTGAACCAGAACATCCATCACTGGATCTGAAATCCAAGCGACATTTCTGTTGTGAAAATACTGAATGTCCTCTTCCAACATGAGAGTAGCGTGATAACAAAGGTATCAACTGTAGCTGTGAACATGACAGGATGTGTGATTACCTAGAAGAGCATCAGGACTGTTTGAGGCAGATGATAGCTATGTGATTAACATGATGATTCAGCCTCTATGGAGAGAGACATCAAGCATGCTCATTTCTGACGTGGAGCTAATCTGAAGTAAACATTGAATACTGCTTTCTACTCCTCCATCTTGTGACTGTGTAACTCCCTCTCTTGGATATCAGCATGTGAAGGACACTGTTCAGGAACTAGTTGATGCTCTGTATGTGATGACTCCTTCCATTCTGGAGAGGATCACAGATACAGTGGGGCAAACAAGTATTTAGTCAGCCACCAATTGTGCAAGTTCTCCCACTTAAAGATGAGAGAGGCCTGTAATGTTCATCCTCACCTCAACTATGAGAGACAGGATGGGGGGAAAGAATCCAGGAAATCACATTGTCTGATTTTTAATGAATTCATTTGCAAATGATGGTGGAAAATAAGTATTTGGTCAATAACAAAAGTTCATCTCAATACTTTGTTATATACCCTTTGTTGGCAATGACAGAGGTCAAACGTTTTCTGTAAGTCTTCACAAGGTGTTCACACACTGTTGCTGGTATGTCTGGCCCATTCCTCCATGCAGATCTCCTCTAGAGCAGTGATGTTTTGGGGCTGTCGCTGGGCAACACAGACTTTCAACTCCCTCCAAAGATTTTCTATGGGGTTGAGATCTGGAGACTGGCTAGGCCACTCCAGGACCTTGAAATGCTTCTTACGAAGCCACTCCTTCGTTGCCCGGGCGGTGTGTTTGGGATCATTGTCATGCTGAAAGACCCAGCCACGTTTCATCTTCAATGCCCTTGCTGATGGAAGGAGGTTGTCACTCAAAATCTCACGATACATGGCCCCATTCATTCTTTCCTTTACACGGATCAGTGGTCCTGGTCCCTTTGCAGAAACACAGCCCCAAAGCATGATGTTTCCACCCCCATGTTTCACAGTAGGTGTTCTTTGGATGTGACTCAGCATTCTTTCTCCTCCAAACACGTCTAGTTGAGTTTTTACCAAAACGTTCTATTTTGGTTTCATCTGACCATATGACATTCTCCCAATCCTCTTCTGGATCATCTAAATGCTCTCTAGCAGACTTCAGACGGGCCTGGACATGTACTGGCTTAAGCAGGGGGACACGTCTGGCACTGCAGGATTTGAGTCCCTGGTGGCGTAGTGTGTTACTGATGGTAGACTTTGTTACTTTGGTCCCAGCTCTCTGCAGGTCATTGACTCGGTCCCCCCGTGTGGCTCTGGGATCTTTGCTCACCGTTCTTGTGATCATTTTGACCCCACGGGGTGAGATCTTGCGTGGAGCCCCAGATCGACGGAGATTATCAGTGGTCTTGTATGTCTTCCATTTTCTAATAATTGCTCCCACAGTTGATTTCTTCACACCAAGCTGCTTACCTATTGCAGATTCAGTCTTCCCAGCCTGGTGCAGGTCTACCATTTAGTTTCTGGTGTCCTTTGACAGCTCTTTGGTCTTGGCCATAGTGGAGTTTGGAGTGTGACTGTTTGAGGTTGTGGACAGGTGTCTTTTATACTGATAACGAGTTCAAACAGGTGCCATTAATACAGTTAACGAGTGGAGGGCAGAGGAGGCTCTTAAAGAAGAAGTTACAGGTCTGTGAGAGCCAGACATCTTGTTTGTTTGTAGGTGACCAAATACTTATTTTACAGAGGAATTTACCAATTCATTCATTACAAATCCTACAATGTGATTTCCTGGATTCTTTCCCCCCATTCTGTCTCTCAGAGTTGAAGTGTACCTAGGATGAACATTACAGGCCTCATCTTTTTAAGTGGGAGAACTTGCACAATTGGTGGCTGACTAAATACTTTTTTGCCCCACTGTACCTGGATCCTGATTATTGAAGCTCAAGCTGGGGAACAGTGAGATTTTTCTAACAATCTCCTACCGAGGCGATATTTACTCGACAGTTCAAATGAGCTCATTGGTTCTGGTTCTGTACCTGAGGCGGTCGCAGATCGTCCGCTCGGCTCGGAGACTCACTCTTCGCTCTCTGACGCTCGGCGAGGACGACGACACTGCCTATGGGACTGAACCTGAAACACACAAACGGTCATTTTACAAGCTTTTACAAACATCTCAAACCTGCTGTTTGTCTCTCCGCTAAGCCCCGCCCACACAATTATGAACCAAACATTTTTATAACAACGACAGCAGAATCTCACCTGTCCGTCTCGCTGAAGCTGGATGACGGCTGAGCGTTGGGCCCGGTCACCAGCGTGCTTCTCCCCGAGGTGTCGATCATCACGGTGGTCTCCTCTCCTATTGGCTCTCCTTCCTCTTCCTCCTGATTCCCCCACTCCTCCATCCTCTCCGTCTTGATCCGGACCCTCTCGGTGCCGCCGCCCTCCTCCGAGCTGCCGGTCCTCTCCGGCTCGCTGCTGGTCTCCACGAACCACTGCCCGGCCCGGTTGATGCGGAGGATCGGTTCTTTGCGACCTGCGTTAATGGTGGTGATGGACGAGCCTCCCTCCATCCCGCTGTTCTCCACGGGGGGCGGAGGGCTGAGAGGATCATCTGCTGGGCTGATGGCCTCACATTCTGCTGCCCCCCTGCAGAGGTGGGAAGTAGTGGAGTACAAATACTTTGTTACTTAAAGGTCAGCTATTATGCAAAATCCACTTCTTCATTAGCTAACAATGACATTATGGTTCTATTAATATAAAGGGAGGTCAGGTACTCTTTAAAGCAGCTGCTAGTTATGGGTACTTTTTACTGAAGTACATTTCAAAGCCTCTTTACATTGACTCGAGTAAAGAAGTTTAGTCAGTACTTCTACTTTCACCAGAGTATTTTTAAACACGAGTATCTGTACTTCTACTTGAGTAAAGGATGCGTGTACTTCTACTTGAGTAAAGAATGTGTGTACTTCTACTTGAGTAAAGGATGCGTGTACTTCTACTTGAGTAAAGGATGCGTGTACTTCTACTTGAGTAAAGGATGTCTGTACTTCTATTTGAGTAAAGGATGCGTGTACTTCTACTTGAGTAAAGGATGCGTGTACTTCTACTTGAGTAAAGGATGTGTGTACTTCTACTTGAGTAAAGGATGTGTGTACTTCTACTTGAGTACAGGATGTGTGTACTTCTACTTGAGTAAAGGATGTGTGTACTTCTACTTGAGTAAAGGATGTGTGTACGTCTACTTGAGTAAAGGATGTGTGTACTTCTACTTGAGTAAAGGATGCGTGTACTTCTACTTGAGTAAGGGATGTGTGTACTTTTACTTGAGTACAGGATGTGTGTACTTCTACTTGAGTAAAGGATGTGTGTACGTCTACTTGAGTAAAGGATGTGTGTACTTCTACTTGAGTAAAGGATGTGTGTACTTCTACTTGAGTAAAGGATGTGTGTACGTCTACTTGAGTAAAGGATGTGTGTACTTCTGCTTGAGTAAAGGATGTGTGTACTTCTACTTGAGTAAGGGATGTGTGTACTTTTACTTGAGTACAGGATGTGTGTACTTCTACTTGAGTAAAGGATGTGTGTACGTCTACTTGAGTAAAGGATGTGTGTACGTCTACTTGAGTAAAGGATGTGTGTACTTCTACTTGAGTAAAGGATGCGTGTACTTTTACTTGAGTAAAGGATGTGTGTACTTCTACTTGAGTAAAGGATGCGTGTACTTCTACTTGAGTAAGGGATGTGTGTACTTCTACTTGAGTAAAGGATGTGTGTACTTCTGCCATCTCTGCCCTCTGGTGCTGATCAGTCTCAACCCGGAGTGATTCGCTCCACTTCGCACCGCGGCCTCCAGCGTTCTCCCCCCTCGACTCTCCCCCTCCTCGTCCTCCTCCCCCAGGCTGATCTTCAGATGGATCCCCTCCAGGATCTGCGTGCAGCGATCAATAATGTGCTGCATCTGCAGGAAGCTGGCGGCCGTCAGGTAGCTGATGATGTCGGCCAGCTGCAGGCAGAGGCGCCCGGTGTAGCAGAAGCTCAGCAGCTGCTCGAACACAGAGGGGTTCCTGATGACCGTTAGCGACACGGTGCTCATCTGGCCCAGAGACATGTGGTCGCGGAAGTACGGCGAGCTGGCGGCGAGGACGACTTTGTGCGCCCGGAAGCTCTGGCCCTGCACGTTGACCACGATGTCGCAGAGACGGCCCTGAACGCGCAGCTGGTTCAGGTGAGACAGCACCGAGTTACTGAAGTCTGGGATGTCCAGCTGGACGCTGCCGGAGCGCTCCATGCTGCAGGGGGCACAACAGATACAATAACATCTCAAATACATATCAAATACACAGGAAATATGAAAAAACCAAAATATACATACAAACATACACAGGAATATATAAATATATCTAATATGTATATATGTTCATTTTAATTCATTTCTTATTTTATAGTCATTTTATTTGAATTTTTTTATCTGAGTACTTCTACTTTTACTAAGTACAAGATCTGAGTACTTCTAATTTTACTAAGTACAAGATCTGAGTACTTCTACTTTTACTAAGTACAATATCGGAGTACTTCTACTTTTACTCAAGTACAAGATCTGAGTACTTCTACTTTTACTAAGTACAAGATCGGAGTACTTCTACTTTTACTAAGTACAAGATCGGAGTACTTCTACTTTTACTCAAGTACAAGATCTGAGTACTTCTACTTTTAGTCAAGTACAAGATCTGAGTACTTCTACTTTTACTCAAATACAAGATCTGAGTACTTCTACTTTTAGTCAAGTACAATATCTGAGTACTTCTACTTTTAGTCGAGTACAAGATCTGAGTACTTCTACTTTTACTGAGTACTTCTACTTTTACTCAAGTACAAGATCTGAGTACTTCTACTTTTACTAAGTACAAGATCGGAGTACTTCTACTTTTACTAAGTACAAGATCAGAGTACTTCTACTTTTACTCAAGTACAAGATCTGAGTACTTCTACTTTTAGTCAAGTACAAGATCGGAGTACTTCTACTTTTAGTCGAGTACAAGATCTGAGTACTTCTACTTTTACTGAGTACTTCTACTTTTACTAAGTACAAGATCGGAGTACTTCTACTTTTACTAAGTACAAGATCGGAGTACTTCTACTTTTACTCAAGTACAAGATCTGAGTACTTCTACTTTTAGTCAAGTACAAGATCTGAGTACTTCTACTTTTAGTCGAGTACAAGATCTGAGTACTCTACTTTTACTGAGTACTTCTACTTTTACTCAAGTACCAGATCTGAGTACTTCTACTTTTACTGAGTACAAGATCTGAATACTTCTACTATATTTTAGTTCTTAAAATGTGTTCAGATTACTGGATTTATTGCAGCTCTCGTGGGATCAGAACTCTCGTGAGGTCCGGATCAGAACTCTCGTGAGGTCCGGATCAGAACTCTCGTGCGGTCCAGACCAGGCCCAGCTGCGGGTCTCAGGTATGTCTCCAGGTGTGTCTCTCTCACCTGTGGGGGGTCTGCTCTGGTTTCAGGGACGGTGCGGTCTTCAGCCCTGCAGACAGCCGCTGAGCATCAGGACAGTTCGGCTCGGCTCGGTTCGGCCCTGCAGATCCTCCAGGCTCCGGGTCTCTCCAGCGGCTCCGGGTCTCTTCAGGGCCGCGGAACAGCACCTGATCTCCGGTCCGTCAGCAGCCACGCCTCTGCCATGGTTCCTCTGGACTCATTCTGCGGTTCTGGACTCGGTTCCGGTTCGGCTCCTTGGTGTCGGCGCGCGGCTGCTTCTCATCTTCCTTCCTTCTTTTTTCTTTTTTCTTTTTACGGCAGAAGGGCCGAGGCTGCAGGAAGGAAGGAAGGAGGGAAGAAGACGCGCGGGGCATGATGGGAAATGTAGTCCCCGACCGTTAGGGGCGCTGGCTCAACGGCTGAGTGAAAGACTCCATTTCCCAGCAGCCACCTGTGATGAGAGGGGTCATCACGGCTCTTGGAGTTTGGCAGAAAAGTGGAGTTCACACAAGCACGCGCACACGCACACACGTCCAAGTCAGAGCCTGTTTAGATCATTTTACATTTACACCGAGAATAAATACAAAAACACAGCTTTATTTGTGGCTACTTTTAATGAACATAAGATAAGATATACTTTGGTAATCCAGAAGTGTGAATGTATTTCTTTGCAGCAGCATGTAAAACGTGTATTTTACATAATTAGAAATAAAAAAGAGTAGGAAATAAACAATTATACAATAAACACCTATAAAATAAAACAGAACTCAAAGAGTGAATGTTTAAAGGTGGGGTAGGTAAGTTTGAGAAACCGGCTCGAGATACACTTGTTGTTATATTCCATGGAATGCTCTTAATCCCGATAGCCATGAATATCTGAGTGCTTTGACAACAAATCCATAACAACAACATCATCTGTGGAAGCCGTGGCGCTGTACCAGATTTCTCAAACTTGCCCACCTTTCAATGTAAACCGTGATTTATTTGTCAGAATTATATATTCACTCATAAAATGGTAGATGTTTGTTTATTTTCTACTCTTTTTCTAGCCTTTGTTTTCCCACGCTGCTGTAACGATCAATAAAGTATATCTTATCTTCGTTTTGTATTATAGAGAGGAGGGGAACCGAGGAGAGAGGAGTCGAGGAGGGGAACCGAGGAGAGGAGGGGAAGCAGCAGGCGGTTAGAGAAATGAGAAAGGGCCTTATAGTATGTCTTCAGTATTAATGTAATGTTTGAATTCTTTATCTTCTTGTTATACTATTTATTCAATGATTTGTTTCTATGTTATATTAATTTTCATGGTGTAGTTTATTTGTAGGTTCTCGATGTATATTCTTATAGCATTTTGAAGGTATTTAACTGATGATTTATATGTTTTTTTCTACGTTATATATTTTAAACAAAGTTGTTATTGTAATGTCTAGATGTGGCCTCAGGGTGGCAGCAGAGGCCCTCTCCTCCTCTTCCTTTAATAAAAAAAAATATATATATTTACCTGATATTTAAACTTTAATATATGTATTTCTAAGGGTAATGGATGCTGCTGTTTTTCCTCTGTGTGTTTTTTTACTTTCTACACTTCAGAGTTATGAAAGGATTTGTGATCGAGACTCCTTCAGAGACGACTCTTTAAATCTGATGCAGATACTTCAGGTAAACAAATGGGGCGAAGCCTGCGAGCTAGTTCAGGCAGTCAACTCCAGCACCAATGATACATTAACACGTGACGCACCTCGTCCCGCTAACAACCAACCAAACACATTCTCCTAAACATGCCGCTCTATTTAAGCTGCCAGGTCTTCCTGCCTCTGCCTCGCTATGCTGCTGCTGTGTTCACTTGCTATTGCTGAGTTCTTGTTCCTGCTGCTGCTTGCCTGCCCCAGCTCCACCCCAGCTTCACCCCAGCTTCCACCCCAGCTTCCACCCCAGCTTCCACCCCAGCTTTACCCCAGCTTCCACCTCAGCTTCCACCCCAGCTTTACCCCAGCTTCCACCTCAGCTTCCACCCCAGCTTCCACCCCAGCTCCATCCTAGCTTCCATCCCAGCTTCCACCCCCGCTCCCATCCCCGCTTCCACCCCAGCTTCACCCCAGCTTCCACCCCAGCTTCCACCCCAGCTCCCATCCAGCTTCCACCCCAGCTTCCACCCCAGCTTCCACCCCAGCTTCACCCCAGCTTCCACCCCAGCTTCCACCCCAGCATCCATCCCAGCTTCCACCCCAGCTTCCACCCCAGCTTTACCCCAGCTTCCACCTCAGCTTCCACCCCAGCTTCCACCCCAGCTTCCATCCCAGCTTCCACCCCCGCTCCCATCCCCGCTCCCACACCAGCTTCACCCCAGCTTCCACCCCAGCTTCCACCCCAGCTCCCATCCAGCTTCCACCCCAGCTTCCACCCCAGCTTCCACCCCAGCTCCATCCAGCTTCCACCCCAGCTCCCATCCAGCTTCCACCCCAGCTCCCATCCCTGCTTCCACCCCAGCTTCCGCCCCAGCTCCCATCCCTGCTTCCACCCCAGCTCCCACCCCAGCTCCCATCCCAGCTTCCACCCCAGCTCCCATCCCAGCTTCCACCCCAGCTTCCACCCCAGCTTCCACCCCAGCTCCCACCCCAGCTTCCACCCCAGCTTCCACCCCAGCTCCCATCCCTGCTTCCACCCCAGCTTCCACCCCAGCTTCCACCCCAGCTTCCACCCCAGCTTCCACCCCAGCTCCCATCCCTGCTTCCACCCCAGCTCCCATCCCAGCTTCCACCCCAGCTCCCATCCCAGCTCCCATCCCAGCTTCCACCCCAGCTCCCATCCCAGCTTCCACCCCAGCTTCCACCCCAGCTCCCATCCCAGCTTCCACCCCAACTCCATCCTAGCTTCCATCCCAGCTTCCACCCCCGCTCCCATCCCCGCTTCCACCCCCAGCTTCACCCCAGCCTTCACCACCCCAGCTTCCACCCCAGCTCCCATCCAGCTTCCACCCCAGCTTCCACCCCAGCTTCCACCCCAGCTTCACCCCAGCTTCCACCCCAGCTTCCACCCCAGCATCCATCCCAGCTTCCACCCCAGCTTCCACCCCAGCTTTACCCCAGCTTCCACCTCAGCTTCCACCCCAGCTTCCACCCCAGCTTCCCATCCCAAGCTTCCACCCCCGCTCCCATCCCCGCTCCCACACCAGCTTCATAACCCCAGCTTCCACCCCAGCTTCCACCCCAGCTCCCATCCAGCTTCCACCCCAGCTTCCACCCCAGCTTCCACCCCAGCTCCCATCCAGCTTCCACCCCAGCTTCCACCCCAGCTTCCACCCCAGCTCCCATCCCTGCTTCCACCCCAGCTTCCGCCCCAGCTCCCATCCCTGCTTCCACCCCAGCTCCCACCCCAGCCTCCCATCCCAGCTTCCACCCCAGCTCCCATCCCAGCTTCCCACCCCAGCTTCCACCCCAGCTTCCACCCCAGCTCCCACCCCAGCTTCCACCCAGCTTCCACCCCAGCTCCCATCCCAGCTTCCACCCCAGCTTCCACCCCAGCTTCCACCCCAGCTCCCACCCCCAGCTTCCACCCCCAGCTTCCACCCCAGCTCCCATCCCTGCTTCCACCCCAGCTTCCCCCCAGCTTCCACCCCAGCTTCCACCCCAGCTCCCATCCCTGCTTCCACCCCAGCTTCCACCCCAGCTTCCACCCCAGCTCCCATCCCTGCTTCCACCCCAGCTCCCATCCCAGCTTCCACCCCAGCTCCCATCCCAGCTCCCATCCCAGCTTCCACCCCAGCTCCCATCCCAGCTTCCACCCCAGCTTCCACCCCAGCTCCCATCCCAGCTTCCACCCCAGCTTCCACCCCAGCTTCACCCCAGCTCCCACCCCAGCTTCCACCCCAGCTTCCACCCCAGCTTCCACCCCAGCTTCACCCAGCTCCCACCCCAGCTTCCACCCCAGCTTCACCCCAGCTCCCACCCCAGCTTCCACCCCAGCTTCCACCCCAGCTTCCACCCCAGCTTCACCTCAGCTTCCACCCCAGCTTCCACCCCAGCTTCCACCCCAGCTTCCACCCCAGCTTCACCCCAGCTTCCACCCCAGCATCCACCCCAGCTTCCACCCCAGCTTCCACCCCAGCTTCCCCCCCTGTTCTCCCCTGATGCTAAATGTTCTTTAACCAAATGAAGTGTCTCCTGATTGAACTGGTGAAGGATCTTCCCTGATATCAGGACAGCGGAGAGTCTCTCCAGATGCAGACTGAAGACCCACCTGTTTCTCTTATAGAGTTTACCTGATGCTGCAGTTCTTATTATGGTCTGACTTGTTTGTAGTAAACATGTCAGCACTGTTGTTGTTGTTGTTGTTGTTGTTGTCCTCAGTTTTGAATCGTTATGGTTCATTGCACTTATTGTACGTCGCTTTGGATAAAAGTATCAGCTAAATATAATTTAATTTGACTTTTACTTCACTTAGAAACCTGTTGAAGCTTCCATCATATTCAAAACTTAAAACCACTCTGTGCATTTGACATTTATATTCAATGTAATGGTCCATTCCTTTCACACTTAATAATATCCTGCTGTAATCTGTATTTCCACATGTATATTTTCTGCTTTTTTAATACTATTTTATTTCTATTTGAGATGTTTACATTTTGGATTGTTTATTTCTACTCTTTTAATTTCTCTAATGTACGAGGCCTCGTCTTTTTGTGCTGCTGCAACGCAAACATTCCCCTAATTAGGATCAATAAAGTAGATCTTATCTTATCTTATCTTAAATCTGTTTCTGTTTCAAAAGCCCTTCAATTTATTTCGGTGCTCCAACATAAAACCTGTTTCCTCAACTTGATGCTCGGATACTTTTAGAAAACGCGTTATTATTTCCCTTGTAACGTAAGTGTTGATGTTAAAATCAGCGTTTCTTGCATCGTGTGTTTCTATTTCTGTCTTTATTAAGAGCTAACAAACCAACAAACACTCAGGAGTTAAACAGTGCAGACAGAGTTCAGGCTGGACGTCAACAAACACAAAATCATTAATGGATTAATCAATCGGGTCGAGTCGGACGAGTACGGAAGCCCATATCTGCCACAAAAAGAAGTCAAATATGACACGTAAATTATTTAGATTCTTAAAACGTGAAATAAAAAATCGGACCCTGTAGCGAGACTCAGAATAAATGAATACCAAAAATATATGATTATAATTAATTACCCAAAATGATGCATCGCATAAAAGTGATGGAAAGTGACCAGACTCGACTTCAGCTATCCAATTAAAACTGCTCTTGAGATGATGTCATCATGTGTGTGTGTGTGTGTGTGTGTGTGTGTGTGTGTGTGTGTGTGTGTGTGTGTGTGTGTGTGTGTGTGAGAGAGAGTGTGTGAAT